TCCAGGGCCGCTTCTTGATCTTCCATCTGGTCCTCAATAGCCGGTTCTCCTTCTGCCGGTTCTTCGGCTTTGACGTCTCCGGCCTGGGAAAGCTTGCCCTGCAAGATCTCCTGTAAGACCTTGTCGACCTCTGCCTCAGCTTCATCCTCTTCGTTTTCATAGAGCTCATTGTTGGGTATCGCATCGTCGACCATCTCCTCAATGATACCAGCACGCACCAGTTCCGTCGCCAGTTGCCGCATGGTTCCTGTCAATTCAGGCAGCCGGACCAATGTGTTGACATCCTTCATGATTCCAGTCGACTTCTTCAGACTGCCTTGAATCTTACGCATCGAAAAGGCCTCGTTCACTTGCATCTGCACACTTTGAAGCTGGGCTCGGCTCGTGGTCAGACGAGCGGACTGTTTGCGGATCCGGACAAGTTCCCGGGCAAAGGTCTTTGTCTCAGCAGTCGCCTGTTTTGCTTGCGAAGGATTTCGCTGAGCCCTGCGCGACGCATTCACTATGTATTGCCGTGTCTTGCTTTCCAGAGCCCTCAACTGGGCAATGTCGCGGTCTAATTGACGGGTATTGGCACGTATGAGTTGGTTGCATTTCCTCATCTGCAAATTGGAAAGTCAAATCAGCACACATTGGTAGCTAGTAGTCATCAATAATCGTACTTGCGCTTGAGGATCTGGACCGAAGAATACCGCCTTAAGAGTCTCCATGGTGAAGAGGCTCTCTGTGATGTTCTCCTGGATTATCTCCCTGAGATATTCCGTTCTTGAGGACTGAATATATGACTTTATAGTGTGTAAGTAAGAGTTCACGATTTCGTGAGCGCCCAAGTCTTACGTTGTCGCAAAAGGCATCAAGGTATGTTTGGTAACTTGATCGTCACTGTAAGTGGGGTATCGACTCGGCAGGGCGTTGGAACGGGTTGCGCAAGGCGAATGCAAATGATAAGATAACAGACTGCTAATGTTACGACACGAAGGAGAATGATATGGCAACCGAACTAATAAGAGCTGCGACTTGAAGATTGTATATCGGGAATACCTTTGATCAAGATCGGTGTCACTCTTGTCAACAGACTGAAGAATCCAGCACCGACTTCCCCATCTGATTAGTCATCCAACCAAGCACTCAAGTCCCAGATCCTCGAAATTGGGGCCTCAGGCACACAGAAGACGGCAAACAGAGCAAACAGTAGGCGGCTGCCATAAGACAGTTCCAGTACTTTCTAGCACCACTTCCGGAGGGACAAGCTACGCTAACCTCAGCTGGACTCACATCACCAGCCTTTCTAACCACGAGTCTTTCTACCTATTGTCTGCTCTATCTTCACTTTCCTTTCAGCTCTAGGTCAACACATCTGTTGCTGTCATCCCTCACCATCTCGCTTCCTAGTATCCTATCTAACGCGGATCAAAATGTCTCAACTCACTCCTGAAGGTACGTTAGCTTGTGGTCATACCGTTCCACCTTCCCCGCCCTCGGCGTGTGTTGCTGGTCTTTGCGTCTCAATTGCAGCACAGATACTTGAGCGTTAATGCATATGTATCTGCCGCACACTGACGACGCTCGGGCTATCACTTCGTCCTCGAGATGCTAAGCATTGCTGACGAATCCCTGTGCAGTTACATGGGCCCAGCGCTCGTCCAGCTCAGATCCCGAGCGCAACTACCTCTACGTCAACATCAAGACCCCAGATGTCGCGAAGTCGGCCGCGGATCTCAAGATCACCGCTACCAATGTCTCATTCACCGGAGAAACCAACAAGGGCGTAAAATACCACGTCTCTCTCGACTTATACGCCGAGATCGACCCCGAAAACAGCAAGGTCAACCATACTGACCGTGAGGTCGAGCTGGTATTGCGGAAGAAGGAGCTAAAGGAGGAGTACTGGCCCCGTCTGGTGAAAGACACACAGAAGCTCCACTTCTTGAAGACGGATTTCGACAAGGTATGACATCTGACGACCGTGAATTTTGGCGGAAGAAGACACCTACTAACAATTGCTAGTGGGTTGACGAGGATGAGCAAGACGAGGCAGCCGAGGATGACTACGCAAACAACTTTGGTGGATTCGAAGGTCTTGATCAGGGCGGTCTTGGAAACATTGATTTCTCCAAGCTCGGTGCCAACCTTGGTGGGGGTGCCGAGGGTGCTGAGGGTTTCGAAGGTGCTGAGGGCGAAGAATCGGTAAGTCGATCTGATCCGAGCTTTGGAAACCGTTCACATCACATTTGCTAATATCTTATTAGGATGACGAAATGCCCGAGCTCGAGGGTGACAGCAAGACCGAGGAAGAGGCCAAGTCCTCTAAGATCCAGGAAGTCTCTTAAAGTATGATGGAAAGGAGCTTGATGATGATCTGTGACAAAGCTGAATGCTGAAACACCTATTATGAACAAAATCGCTCTGCCATGAATGAGCTTACTCATTTTCGACTATAAAAAGAGGCTGTACGAGTCTGAGTATACCGTTGGCGACTGATCGGGGAGGCCTGAGATGCATAATCTGTGGACGGTTTTCTCAGGACATACCGCAAGTCTGAATGATATAATGAGATACGCTTCGCGCTATTGGATTATTCCGCCCGATAAGTTGATGTACTCTACCAGCCAGTTCTGCCACAGCTATTCCCGAGCATAAATTCGTCGTAGTATGTTAGAAGTAACACCATTGGCCTTGTGGTGCATCAAACCCGTCATGACGTCCTAGACTCCTCAGAGATACCTGGATTTTCAGGCCATTCACTGAGGTGTACATATCTATGGTGCTGTTAGTTTTCTCACCATAATCCACTGAGGTATGGGAATGGAGAGTAGGCGACTCTCCGGTACGAATATTTTCCTTTAATAATGCCTCTGGCATGACCAGAATTCAAAGATTGTTCCGAGTTGGTCGAGTCGCTGTTTGGTCGACCGCATTCTGGGCGTCGAAACTCATTGGCGGAGAGAAGCCTTTCGAAGGTTGTGCCGCCACATTCTCTGGAACCCACATCCTCTCTTGAAAATGTGGAGGGACTCGCAACCAAGATCTTCCGACTTCACCAACTCTCACGATCGCTGCACACGTTGCATTTGAGGTGTCAACCAACTTCTGTCTGTCTGTTAAGACGCTTGTATTGACCCTCTTCTTCTCTGTCACTATAAATATCCGGTCGATTTAGCTCGTCAGCCTTGATTGACTGCGAACGAGCCCAGGCGCCACAGCCAGATCCGGCGTTGAAATTGTTTCTTTTTTAATAGACCTTTTGCAGATTAGAAAATCACAAGGACATAGCCAAAATGCCGCCAAAGAAACCTGAGCCGGCGAAGAAGAAGAAGGCCACGGTCGATGACAAGGTTCGTGCTGACACTGAACGATGGACTGCTTTGGACTTGATTTGCTGACTCTTTTCTTGTCAGACCTTTGGTATGAAAAACGTACGTTACGAACTTTCGGAGATGATAGTATCCCGTTATTATTGAAAACTCAACTGACCTGACGTTCTTACAGAAAAAAGGTGGTTCCGCGAAGAGGCAGATTGCACAGCTCCAAGCCCAAGCAGCACACAACAAGACCGCCGAGGCCAAGAAGAAGGAGGCTGAGAAGGCCCGTCGTGAAGCCGAGAAGAAGGCCGCCGAGGCCGCAAAGAAGGAGACCCTAGAATTGTTCAAGCCCGTGCAGGTTCAGAAGGTTCCTTTCGGTGTCGACCCGAAGACCGTCCTGTGTGTCTTCTACAAGCAGGGCAACTGTGAAAAGGGAAAGAAGTGCAAGTTCAGTCACGATCCGAACGTTGAGCGGAAAGCGGCCAAGAAGGATCTCTACACCGATTCGCGAGATGAGAAGACTGCGGAGGAGGAGGAGAAGAAGGGCGACACGATGGACCAGTGGGACGAGGAGAAACTTCGCAAAGTTGTTCTCAGCAAGCACGGCAATCCTCGGACGACTACCGAGAAGGTTTGCAAGTACTTCATTGACGCGGTCGAGAACCAGAAGTACGGTTGGTTCTGGGTTTGTCCTAATGGAGGCGACAAGTGCATGTACAAACACAGCTTGCCACCTGGGTATGTTTCAATGCATGTTTTCAAGCATTGTAGGATAAAGCTAACATGGTTATCTAGATTTGTTTTGAAGACAAAGGAGCAAAGAGCTGCTGAGAAGGCTTTGATGGACAAGTCTCCATTGAACACGCTAACCCTGGAGGACTGGCTCGAATCAGAACGTCACAAGCTTACCGGCAACTTGACGCCGGTGACACCTGAGACCTTCGCCAAGTGGAAGAAGGAGCGTCTGGATAAGAAGGCTGCAGAGGAACAGGCCCGCAAGGCCAAGGAAGCCACAGGTCGTGCTCTGTTCGAGAGCGGCAACTGGCGTGCGGATGAGGAGAGCGACGAGGAGGACGAAGACGACGAGACTTGGAACCTTGAAGCCCTCCGACGGGAGACCGAACGACTACGGGCAAGGAAAGAAGAGGAACGTCTCGCCCGGCTGAATGGTATTTCGGTCACGCCATCTTCGAACGACGAGACCGTCGCCCAAGAGGGTGAAGGCTGACTCGATGCGACTCACCCAAGATTCTAACAACTTGGGCTTTCGAATTCGGGCATGGCACCTCCCACACTGGAACCGGCGTTCCAGGCGGATGTCCCGGGCCCGTGATGGTGATCGTGTTGATAACCAGGACTGAGATATCTGCCGGGTGGGCGTTCGCGCTTTATCCTCTATCGTTTCCATACGTGCTCCTGGGCAGCACAGGATGTTGGGGCCGATGTCTCAATGCGTGTATGGAAGGGCAGGGGCAGAAGGCGGCACATGGTCGACGCACTCATGTGTGACGTGGATGCAGAAAACAGAGGCTGGCATTCTGGTGCCGTTTTTGTACGTAGAAAATGATTTTGACTAGATTTAGCGCTACATGTCAATGCTTTGCATCAACCGCTCTAGATTCCCATCAGTCAAGGTTAATGGAGTCCCAGCGACTGGCTAGGACTCTAGAACGAGTTTTCTGTAATGGTTTCAAATGTCTACAACGACGCCTTCTGCCGCGCCAACTCATTCTCAAACATCAACTGCACAACATCCTGCGCAACTCCCCACGACAACTCGAACCCCCTTCCCCCCGCACCATAGGCATGCACAATGAAGCGATCACCACCCACTCTCTCCGCCTCAATCCTCATCCCGCCTTCCCTCGCCGGCCTCCGCCCGACGATATCACGGATGACATCGAACTGACCTCCGCTCTCCGTAAAGGGGGACCATTTCGCCGCATTGGAGAGAAGCTGCTTCCTCGTATCAAGCGAGGGCGTCGGATTCCAGTTGTGCGGTTCCTTGGTGCCGCCGATGATCGTGCCACCGCTCAGAGGCCGGGGAATGCAGAACGACCAGGTGCCGTCTGAGTTTTGGCGGGTGATGGTCACAGAGCAGGGGTTGCGGACTAGACACGTTTGACCTGGTAACCTTTATTAGCCCAGCTGTATAAGGAAAGTCGAAGAGTTGCAGCTCGGCTCATACCTCGGATAATGAATGACTTGGGATCCCCGAATCCCAGTCCGGAGCAGTTGACAACCGTCCTGACGGTCCCCGTCCCCGCCAGCTCAAACGCCTCCATCGGATCAACGAGCGTGTACTCTCTCGTCTGGCCGCCGTTGAGGACGAACTTGCGAAGCAGGTAGGCGCAGTAGACTGGCGAGTTCACGACGTAGGTGCGGTAGCGCACGCCCCATTTCACTTCGGGGGGAGTCTCGTCCTGCGTCAGGCGGCGGAAGCCGTCGAGATGCGCGTACGCGTCCTGGATGTTGGCTTCGTTCAGGTACTCTGGGGGCGGGGACTCGAGGTGTTCCTCGCCATCGATGAGTTGGACTCCTGAGGAGGCGTCTTCGGTGGCGAGTTGCTTGAAGTGCTCATATGTGCGGCGTGCTTGGCTGTTTTCTCGTGCGGCTTGCGGTGAGGACACTGGGACTGGGCGGTAGTGCGCGCCGGCCCAGGGCGAAGCATAATTGAGCGAGGTGGTGTTGGGGAACTCTCTGGCGACGATGAGGATGTTTTGAGAGGGTTGAAGGTGTTGTTGGATGTGGAGGGCTGTGGTGAGCCCGATTACCCCCGCGCTGGAATGAGTCAGTGTTATATATTCGGGTCATTGTGGATGTGGACTGGTTTAGATTCAGGGAAAACCGACGTACCCGATGACCACTACAGTTTCGTTACTCATTTTGCGAGATATACGCTGTACTCGATCCAACACAAAGTTCGTTGGTCTTCATGAGACCTTTGTACTGTGCTCTTGCATTGTGAGATGGAGATAGATGAAGCGGATCCCCGCATTGGCGGAGTCAGTCCGAACTATTGCCGTTACCAAAAGTGACGTCTGAGTCTCCCATTGTGGTTCGGTCTGTGAGGTTATTTAATCCTGTAATGTGATTCTGCTCTTCAAATCCGTGAGATTTCTGTCTACAATTCTATGTATAGAAGAGCTGTTGAGGCTAAACCATGCTTGGTTTTAAACTGCCGGAGCTTTTGACATGACAGTTCAACCGTCTCTTTGACCCCGCCAAATCTTATCGGTTGAGTGATTACTAGGAAGCCACCATGGATCGGATCACAATCACATACGAGCAGAGGCTGGGATTCTTATCACACCATCCTGGCTGGACATTGATTTTGAAGCTGCATGTTTGGTCGCGACCTCGTCGGGCATCTCCGCAGCAGCTATGAAGTACAGAATTTTGCATCATCACATCACGTTGCATTGCAAGAATTGGCCAATTTGAGTATACCTGGTGAGTTCTGAGGTTCAAGGTTTACCCAGTATCTACAATTTTGAAATACTACTGTTGCAGCTTGTCCTGTCTGCCTCTCTAATTAGGCGTACCGTAGGCAGGTATATACTTGGACCACACTGCTCGACGAAATCAGATCCCGCGATCATGCAACTCCTTTGCTTTCCTAGAGCTTCTGCTTTGAGCACCTGAGTAGCTACGAATCAAGAGACGATCCTTTGGCCATTTGAAGCATCCAGTTATCTTTCGTGAACCTATTCGAATACGCGCCCAGCTGGTCACGGGAGGACGACGACAGGGCCGTTGTGGGCTGTGATTGGCTGGCTCGGGTGATGAGACCTGCAGTGTGAAGAAACGCCTTCTGCATTGCTGCCAGCCAATCAGCGTCCGTCCTGGGGGTTCCTGGCAGCATCATCTTAGGCTCGTCCAGAAGAAGAATTCCTGTTAACATCTGACAATGTGGATAATTCGTCCTAACCCCGCCTTGTAAAGGTGGATCACTTCCACAGGATTGTTTGATCACTGGATTAGATTGCTTTCTACTGTAGGCGTGCTCTTGACCGGTCTCTCATTGGAAACTAACAACAATACTTATTGTCCCCTGGAGAGATAATGGCAATAATAATAGAAGTCGATGATCATGCCACTGGGATATCTTCTGTCCCTTGTAAGTTCTAAAAACTGGCTATTTTTTGTTTAATCCCCATTTTAGTTCGAAACTTTCCCGGCTGCAAAGCATCCTATGATGGTGCTATGCCCAGGTCTCTCGACCGCTAGGAGCTGCAAGATCTCGCACATTTCTTCCGTCCGACCATGCCCGCTATGCGTTTGATCGACTTTTAATTCCTTCCACTGCCTTAGTCTAACCTGTTAGCGCTGATTCCTCTCCTCTCCAAATCCCATTCGGCTGCCTGTCTGTCCGTCCGCCCTCTGCAGTCTCGTGTCCTGTGTGCTGTGGCTGTACCGCTGTATGGCTATCAGATATCTCGCTAGCGTACTGTACTGCTTTAGCGCTGGAGAGGTAGCAAGTGCAATCAACATGTCACTGGATGCACTCTCTTTCCCTCATTTATGCTCGTCCGCTAATGAAGTCATGAAATCACTGTCTCCTCCCCCCGATATAGACCAAGCGCCATGAACCTCCCTTGGCGCGAGCTGCCATTGCTTGGTGGCTGGTGAGTTCGATCATCGACTAAGGTAACTTAGTGCCGCCTTCCAAACGTTTTGTATCTTTTCTCCATGGTCGAACAGATTATCGATGAGGGTCGAGTCGTAGGGAATGTCGAATCACCCCCTTCTAGTCGTCGCTCACTCACTCCATCACAGAAACACTCTCCGTTGTGGACTCCTCTGAACCCCCTTTTCCTTGGTTTCCTGGACTTTCATAACCCTGCCGGCTCTTCTCTTATGTACTTCCCCCTCCATATAACGTGGTAGCCCGCCTAGTGCATACTATTCCTTGTCAGTCGCCTGCATCTGCGATACCTTGCGGTTGCTGGCCTTGCATAATCGCACTTCTCGCCTATTTTCAGATTTGACCTTATTATTCCTCATTATAGCTTTTTCCATTTTTCCGTTTCCCTCTTACCCTACTCCTACGGTGGGCCGGACCGTCTTGTCGGTTTCCTTTCTGCTTCTTCCTGAGTCCATGTCCCGAGACGAAGCTTTGTACTAATTCAGCGGACTGTATCTCGTCATCGAAGCTGCGGTAAAGCTGTGATTAGCTGGATAGTACTCTGGTCGGTCATAACCGAGCCGTCCTAAATTATCTCTCTGCGAGCAACACGGAAGCTGCGGGAATGCTGTTGAGGGGTGTCTATACTGTCGAACAATACCCATTCTGTCACTCCACTTGCGCCAACACTTCGGGAAATCTGCAATAGAACATCGATCCCGGATTACGCGAGCTCGACTCAGATAGTCGCCGTGCAAATACGAGTGGACGGCGAGAAAGAGAAGAAAGAGACGCTGCCTCACTCAGCTCACACGCCGGCAACTCAACCGCAAGACCCGAAGAATGGTTGAATTGACATGGAACAGAAACCCTCTTCCTGACACAAAAGGTACAGCAATTAAGCCAATGGCGCCCCCGATTGCGCCGCCGACACCTCAATCGCAGGCACCGGAAACCACCTTCGAGCCATGTGCGTCGACAGCCTCATTATTCCTCTACGCTCAAGGATCCGTGATTAATTGCCTCCATCATGACACCCTCGCACTCGAGAGACGATTCGACCACCATAAGGCGGATATCTCTTTCATATCTGTGGACAATGTCAGCGAACGAGGTTCGGGAAGATTAGTCGCCAGTTATGACACGGGACAGACGACGATCGTGTGGGACCTGTTTACCGGAGCCGAGCTCGCTCGTTTTGCGGCGTTCGACCACCTACGGGTAGCTGCCTGGATGCGTAATGGCAATGTAGCGTTTGGTAAGGAGGACCTTGCCCTCACGGCCGACGAGGACGCATGCTGATGACCTTCAAGGAAACGGCAAGGGCGACGTCATTCTCTTCGAGCCGTCCACTTCGGAGCATGTTTCGACAAGGACCATCTTTGACCCCATTACAGCTCTGGCGCCGGCCTCTGACTGCCGAACGTATGCCATTGGGTATGTAAATTATCCTTTTTTGGAGAAGGAGGGTGAAAGGCCGACATTATCGATTGAAAGATTCGGCTGACTCTTATTTCAGCTATCAGAACGGTTCCATTCTGATCGCCACTCTTCATCCCACGTTTACCATCCTACATACCATGTCCACATCACGAGGCCCGTCACCCATCGTCTCGTTAGCATGGCATGCGTCGTCATCAAAGCAAAAGTCCGATATGCTCGCTACTCTATCCTTCAATGGAGATCTGAGAGTTTGGAGTATTTCAAAGCCCCCTGGCAAAGAGGCTCCGCGGGTCATCAGAGTTCTCAAGCGATCCGACTCTTCTTCAGCTGAGCCGAAGTGGATGGCTTGGTCGAAGAACGGCCGGATCGTGCAGTTTCTTGATGGGTAAGCGTAATCAATCCCAATCATAAGATTGAGTTCCTAACCCGCAACAACTTCCAGGGAGACTTGGGCTTGGGATGTCAAAACGAAACACGTCACTTACGAACCGATTCCGACAATAGAAAACCCTCGTGGTTTCGCTAACTATGGCCCCACTGCTACTCTTTTCACTCTTGGCCCTAACTACACAGTGCAGCAGTACGATTTAGATAACCCGGGAATGGTTGCTAACGTGCAGCACATTCCTGCTGGAGCCCTTACTGCAACTTCTGACGACCCGAGGGGAGGATCCCTAGAATCACGAGCCTTGCAGGATCCGCCGGAGCTCAGAGAATCAGCGCGCATGTACGACAGCCGGCCACCTTTTGACCAAAGCGGAGTAGACGCCGTACGACAGCAGCGTGCAGAGATGGGAAGTCCAGTATCATCGCGGAGTCACGCCAGCTCTGTCAACTCGAAAGCATCTTCGGGGAAATACAGGATGGTGCCATTTTCACCACCGAGTAGGTCGGCACAGACGGGTACTTCGTTCTCGCTAGCTTCGGCAAGTGGACGAGAGACTCCTCAGCAGTCTGGGGCCTCGTACACGTACGCCTCCTCCGTCTCAATGTCGTCGGTGAAAAGCTCTCGTGCGGGATCCCGACTGCGAAATGAGGTCCAATTTAGCCCAGCAGACCAGCGTATTGATTTGTTCCCATTCACACGCGCGCGTCTCAACGACGTACCGTATAGAAACCATCGCCCCATAGACGAAGCCCATCTCACGCCAAACGACCTTCGGCGACAGATGCTGAGCGTCGTGTTTGGATGGGACGGAGACATTCAAGACTTGATTAGAGACGAGCGTGAGTGAACACCTTTACATATTTGCTCTATCGACATCTCAATTGACATTAAGAGCAGTCATTCGTCACCCGCCCGGCAGTCAAAGTGCCATTTTATTGGCGCAATGGCTCGGCCAATCCGACTCTGACGCAACCGCGGCCATGATCAACTCTGGACCGGCGACATTGACCGATTGGATGCTCTTGGCCATGAGCCAGATGAATGGAGAGTCGCAAGCGAACAAGGTTGGCCAGGCATTTGCGCAAAAGCTGCTAGAGATCGGCGACATACATACGTCGGCTACCGTTTTGCTGGGCCTAGGCGATAAAAACGAAGCTATTGAAGTCTATGTCTCTCAGAAATGCTACTTGGAAGCGATCCTGATGACTTGTCTTCTGACGCCCACAGATTGGCAGCGCCAGTCATACCTGGTGCGACGATGGGGTGAACACGTCGTTTCCCATGCCCAGCAGCAGCTGGCAATTAGATGCTTCATGTGTACCGGTGTAGAGCCTTCCGATCCCTGGACTTCTCCCGCTGCTCAGCAAGCTGCGTCTTTTGCGGAAATCCTTTCAGGACGCTCGCCGATGACATCGCCTGAGCCACAGCCTCTGCAGCAACAATCATCCAATTTCCTTCGCCCGCCTCTGAATTCGCAGCCAAAGATACCGCCTAGCACCAGACCAAGCACGAAAACTCCAGCCCTCAAGTTGATCACGTCTTTTGACTCTCAGCCCGGCAAGTTTCGGTTCCCGGGTCTGAAATCAGACGACAGAACACCTACGAATGCCCCAGGAATTACACCTATCGCCGAGTCAGCTGTAGGAGGGTCTGCTGTGTCCCCTGGAGGGCTCGGGTCCTACAGGGCGAACAATATCCAAAGTCTGAACAATGCGATGAACGCAAGGACAGGCACGCCTCCATTCAATAGGAGACGCTTGCCTTCCATTGGAGAAACGCCCGTCGATGTCCATCCACCCACTTTCTTGTCAAGTGGCTTGAGCAGCTCCGTGGAATATGCCTCGTCGGTGGAAAACACCAGCCGGCTGCATAATGGAAGCCAAAGTCAGGATGAGGAGGTCCTGTCGTCTCTGCTGCCGTCTGCACGGTACAATCCTGAAAAAGACACGTTCAAGCCGAGTCCGCAAACTGCCGTTCAGGCGAACTCGGATAAGTTTGCAGGCATCAAGGGTCTTCCTTCCCCAAGCCCTGGCGTTTTCGAGGCCCTCAAGGAAAGTTCCGACAGTCGGAACGGATCCAGAGACCGAAAGCCTGATGGTCTCCAGCTTCACCTGTTCCAGCCCGGTGCTTCAGAGAGTGATTTGCTAGGCCCACCTAGCAGTACGATGAGCAATACTCGGAGCCCAGCCTCGACGCTAAATAGTTACAATTCAGCGAAAAGCCCTAGTGTCAGTGGACGGAGCATCGACCAGTACATCAGCAGTCTCGACGAGGCGAATTATCGCTCACAGAAATATAGCCGAGGAAGGCGAAACACGGAGGATTCAGTCAGCCAAAGCTCGGCAAGAAGAATCACTTCGAGGAATACTTCCCAGGAAACCACTCGAGGACGAAACGAGAGAAGATACATTCAGCCAGCTAAACGTTCACCGTCCTCCCCGATTCCCATGTCCCCTGAGGAAATAGCTCAATACAGCAAGAGCACAGGGGCCAAACACCCTACCAGCAAATCACGTAACGGCAGCAGAGTGAGAAAGCCACGCTCTCGCCATTCATCGGAGCGGCGTCGGCATCGTTCTGCCAGTCGACACGCTGCTAGCCGAACGGCCACAGACAAGAATGACCCTACTCCCCGGGGGCGCAGTATCGATAGGCAAAGTTCCGGGGCGAGATCACCGTCTGCCCCATTACCCGTACCTCAAGCGGAGGATGCTTTGAGGTTGGTCGCTAGTGACAGAGAAAGACTGCGGGGTCACCAACGCAGTAGCAGCCGACGTCCTGACAAGGGCGGGTCGAGAAGGGATGGGTCTCCCGAGAGCAGACATTCGCGAGCCACGTCTCGCAATCGTCAAGGCCAGGATACGAATATGACCACGAACACTGAACAGGCGACGGACGGGTTGATCACAAATGGTATTTTTCAGACGGATGCATACTTACAAGAGAGAAACCACCATGAAATGGAAGAAGTGCAAATGCAAGCTCGAAATGCGAGCGCTGCAACCTTGCCACCTACCGCACTATCAGAACAGAGGCGAAAGGAGCTTGCAGCTGCCGAACTAGAGGCCCGGCGACTTTCACTTGCGCGCAACCCTTCAGCTCCAAACATACCGTTTCCTGGAGAGCTGCAGCACACCCGAAGCCCCCTAGGCAGCCCACCTCTGTCCAGAACCTCTGTCAACCAGCGTACACCGGCGAGAAGGAGAGCGTCGACCAGCAAGGCCTCGCCAGATTATCCTAGCAGCTCTGATTCGAACTCTTCGAGGTCAGGAGGACCACTTGGTCTGCCAGCGACTCCGAAAGCCATGCGTCACCCGAAATACCCCAACGGCTACGAAGAGACTGTCTCCTCTGGGTCTAGTGTTCCAGATAACGTTATAACACTGAGTGATGCCAGGTACCAAGGCGAAGCCGAGAGAATCGGCCGTTCAATGTCCGTTCCAATGGCAGAACATCAACCCGGTCCCATGCCCGTCGACCTGCCAACCCATCCGAGGTTCAACCCCCGCCTCCCGCGAAGCAGATCGACCAGTAGGAGCCGGAACATCGGTCACCGGCGAGAAAGTTCTCGAGAGTTGGGAAGCTCCGGTGGCTATGCCTACGGCTCTTCTCCAGTCACCGTCAGTATCGAAGAGACCATCGAAAATTCCATGGGCCTGAAGGAATTTGAGAATCCTCCAATCTTGCCAGAGCTGCAGCATCTGAACACGCCGCCGCCGCCTCCGCCTCCTGTTCCCCTTGGACCTGTCTCCCCTCGGGCATCCTCGGGGACTATAGACATTGCCATTGACAACGAGAACCTGGGCAGATTGCTCCCTCGAGCTATGACAGCGGCTCCGACAATCAGTATGGAAACGCGGCCGCCCCTCGAGCGCCGGCGCACGTCATTTGACCATCGGCGAGGCAAGAGCGTCAACGAGAGCTTCACGCATAAAATCCGTAATCTAACACGCATGCGCAGCAACAGCCGCGGACTAGACAATTGGACATCTTCCCGCGAGACAGGAGTCCCCTACGAAAGTGTACAAATGTCGGACGGCCGGATATAACTTAGCCATGTCTTTTTGATCACATGCCTGTGAAATGACCTTTTCTATCTTGCCTGCTTGACTCCTATATCATGATTTGCTCCATGTCTCATTGGACATATAATTCTTACGACTGATGACCTTTCCCACCATGCTCCTTTAATTGAACCCACCCAATGTTCCAATCTGCGACGACCAAGCTTGTTTTCCCATATCTCTAGTGATGATTCAATTGTTATACCCTTGCGTCTGTTTCACCCAATAGTTTCCGTGATCACGCGGGTTACCTTGAGAAATTCGAGATTCTCTGCCTGGTTCATGATGGGCTCTAAAGGATTTTCTGATTTTCTGAGACTGTACTCGCCCGCAAGGGCAAAGGAAAAGTTAGCATCCTACTGTCTTATTCAAGCGAATCCATTGCGTCTCCTGCTTGGAACGTAGACGATCTGTATAAAGGTATGTGTAGGCCCAGCGACCTCGGACGGTTGAGTCCGGCGTGATTTAGAGGAAGTAGCCCCAGCTCCGCCAAGGCAACGTTTGAAGCATGCGTTTGCCAAGTATACTGACTTATACAGAAACTAGCTCGGGATAAGGCCTTTGAAGAAAGCCTTCGGTCGGACGAAGCGAATGAATGGGTTCTCTTAGAAGCCATGGCGGGGTAAGAAAAGTGCAAGTAGAATGTAGCTGCTAATATAGATTGTTATGGTACATGTTAAGCTCGTAATGCGTTGCGGGAGGTTCAGTTCCATCTTCCCCATCCCCTCTTCTCTCCCCCTTCAGAGTCACCGGCCACGTTTCTCTCAGCCTCTAGCAAGCGGTCAAAATCAGCTTGAGCCTGTTCGCGCTGCTGCCTCTCACTGTCTGGGGATGAAGACCCTCGGTTCCACGCCGACCCTACCCCGCTATCCTGTTCGCGCTGTTGCCTCTCATTGACGGACCGACTCCACGCCGATCCTAACCCGCTACCCTGTGTGCCCTGGGAGCCGGAGCCGGAGCTGGCCTGCTGTCTGATCCGATCCCAGGCGCTTCCCTGCGAGCCATCGTCAGATCGATACTCCGCAGCAACGGGGCTTGCGTCGTCACTAGCAAAGAAGTCCGAAGCCTTGTTCTCATCCACTGTGGTAGCACCGCGCATCGACTCCGTCGCGGAGCGATCACCGTACAAGCGCCCCAGATTCCGATCCGGATGAGTAGCAGGCTTATCCGACGACGCCGACGGGACAGACTCCCGCGCAGAGGAAGAAGAGTAAGGGTCCAAAGAGCCATACGCCCCACCACCCTGGTCATACTCATGGCTCTCAGCGTAGCCTCCCCCTCCCACCACGGGACCCTGACCCATCCCCACCTCCACAGGCGGCAAGCCCTGCGCGCGCCGCTCCGCCGCCTCCTTGGCCGCTTTAGTCCTGTCCACAGCCCTCTGGACCTTCCGCCTGCGCACCTCCTCCGGGTCATTGTCGCGCATCTCCGCAAAGAACTGCTTCAGCCGCGGATCGCCCATCGTCTCCTTCAGATCGTGGAACATCCCCCACACACTCGTTATCACCGACCCGGCCGCCACCCAAAAGAACCACCGGAACGATCCCGACACCATTACCTGTCGGAAATTCGCCGGCTCGATCGTCGAGTAGAGCTTCACAGCCGCGAGCACCTGCGCCGGCGACGGCCTCTGCCCCGGTTTCAATCCGGGGGCAAGGCGCGCGACGACCTCCGAGTTGCGCACGCGCCAGTACATGTACGCCGTGCCTATGGCGCTGGCGTAGGGCGCCCCGAGGCGCTGGTGGTAGATGTATTTGCTGCCGTGGTAGACGAAGGCGTCGAGCTCCTCCTGTGTGGGGAGCCGGTTGATCATCACTTTGCAGGACTCAATGCGGTCGCGGATGTGTGCGCTGTTTTTGTGGAGCCAGTTGCGCTGGCCGATGAAGCCGAAGTACAGGGTGAATGGGTCTGGGCGGGAAAGGTATTCGGTCTTGAGCACGAGGGGATACCCGGGTATCGGGATGTGGCCGCTAGTGTATAAGTTGGATCCATTTTGGGATGGCGCGTTGAAGTCCTCGGGATTGGACTGAGGTGATGTATCGTTGAGCACCATCTTGGGTGGTAGAGCGATGGTGGTTTGGCTCCAATTGGTGTTTTAGAAGCTTGGGGATAGCAGTGACGGAGTGTGGAGAAGGAAGTGTCTGAGAGGTTGGGTGATGTTGTGCAGCTTAGTCATCGAGCGTTTCTGCAGCATAAAATTACTCTTATTTCTACGAAGTAAACATCTGCTACTCAATCATCAACATGTATCATTCACGATTATCATCTACCAACTAAATCTGCACGAAAGATAGATTGCGAATGCGGTAGTAGGTATCTGCTCAATTAGCCGATCATCACCAGCAAGCTATGAAAAGAGGACTAACCGGTTGTTGGACCAGGAGAGCCCGACGATCCCTCCATTTGTAGATTGATGATTCTGGCGGGAGTCAGTGCTGGGCAATGTCGCATTCGTCGCTACAAACTTACAAATGCAATGGCTTGCCAATATAATCCCTCCCATACTGGGTCGTGATCAGCTTGCCGTCAAGGTAGAACTTGACGGAGATGTTCTTGCCATCGACATCACGAATCTCCGACTTGATCGTGTGAAAGTTGGAGGGAGAGGGGTACTTGACATCCAAAGCTTTGACTTCAGACGAGGTCTGTAATTGTGGCTGGTCAGCGTACATCCGTCACCATGGTTTCAAGGGCACCCGTCACTCACATTGAAGGTATTGAAACTGATATCCCCGGTTCCTGCTGCTGTCAGCCATACAAAGTCCGAGCAGTTCGTGTCTCGAGGTGTAGCAACCCTTCCACTCGGCAAGATCGATCTCAGGTGGCCACGTATTCGCTCCATTGAGCCAGAACGCAGGCCAGGTGCCTCTAGCAGTTGGTGCCTGGAACTCCGCTTGGATGTCGAAGCCTGATCCGGCTTTTACGGTGAATGTCCTTGCTGAGTGCACCGCACCAGATATATAGTTTATCTTTCTACCGTCTTTGGTAGGCGGCTGGCCGCTAACTGGTTTGGCAACCAGAGTCAGTGTGCCTGAGTTGACGGAAATATACACGTGGTCAGTCGAGCTGCCGACCATACGAGCGGAGCCATTATGATCTGAGCCCCAGGGGTAAAGGTAAGCAAAGTATTTTTCCAGAGAAGAGTATGAGTTGAAGCACGCTGAGGGGATCAATGTAGTTGCTGCAGAGGCTAGAGGGAGAAGACTCAGAAGGAGTGAAAACTTCATTTTGGCGCGGTTCAGTTTCTTTCAACAGATGAGCGAGCATAGTGCTACAATCGTGGTTAACCGTTGAACAGTATCCTTTTATTATGGACTCGGAGTAATTCTGTCATCTCGGGAAAACTTGAAGCAACAACTGAAACAGAATATGCTTCTGAGCGACGATCACCTGCAACCATTACTACAATGAGCTCATTGCCTCGAGAATCAATTTATTTGCAGAAAGCTTCCCCTCCTCATTCCCCTCGGAGTTTTACTGAAACCGAGAGATCGGCCCGGAGGTTACAGCGCTATTATTGCCCACCAAATTTATAACGGAAACGAAACAATGATTCATTATCATCAGCTGATATACCCCTTCGGCCTCTGCATTACCATTTCTCCACATATGGGCGAAGATCTAGCTCGAACCCAAATGTCGTGCGCGGCTGGGTGTGCAGATGCCAGTACGACTCTGCAATCTATAGTACCAATCAGTCACTTGCTGTCAGTTTCAATCAACAGAAAAGCATCTTACAGCGTCTGGGTCAAGTTTAGCGTCTTCATGCTCGAATGTCCATGCCTTTGTTCTGGGAATATCTATGACCCCATCGATAATGACATGGGAGACGTGAACGCCCTTCGGTCCGAACTCTCGCGCCAGTGATTGAGCCAACGCTCGTAGGGCGAATTTGCCCGATGCAAAGGCCGCGAAGTTGGCAGACCCTTTTACGCTGGCTGTAGCCCCCGTAAAGATTAGAGTTGGTGGATGCTGCAAGCCCTGCGCCTGAAGCAGGAGAGGCAAAGCGCCTTTGGCGAAGTTGAAAGCTCCCTTTCTGTTTTTGATTCAGTCTATGGATGAATACATTTGTCTTGTGATAAGAAACTCACCCTTGGTTCTCGAATCCCTGGGAGAACTCTTCCTCTGTGAGCTCGAGGAAGGGCTTGCGCGCAAATCCACCGGCAGGGTTGAACACAGCCGCTGCGAGAGGAACACCAGCGTACTGCTGAGAGATCTTCTCGAACGCAGACTTGACGCTTGCCGAGTCTGTCACGTCCGTACTGATTCCTATGGCCTGTCCACCGCTGGAGTTGATCTCTTGGACAACAGGTTCGAAGTTCGCCGGGTTCCGGCTAAGTACCACCACCGAGTATGCTTTGGCAAAGCGCCTGGCGATGGAAGCGCCCTGGTCATGTTAGCAAATGTGTCTTCCAGTCAAGTGATGGACTTACAGTGCCAGGGCCGACTCCTACGATGATAGCCAATGCTTTGGTAGACATCTTTTTGATCGTCTTATAAGTTGTCAATTGTTAAATCGTCACTACCTATCGTCAACTCAGAAATTACGCGGATTCTTCGTTCATTATATCTCTCATGATTGAGATGTCGTAATTTACTTCGGGCATTGTTGATGCCGTGCTTAGAAATACATGGGCGGCACATTGATCAGTAATCGGGATGATATCATCTTTGCTACTGCTTGCGATGCGATCTCGGATAATCTGTCCATGATGATCCCGCTTCACCGTCTAATAGATCTCAAGAGGGAGGAACCCAATTTGAATGCTCAAATGCCGTGACCAGATTTGAAAAATAAAATGATCCTAATAATGTATCCCGGAGTTACTAAACTCTGTAGTCGAACCAGTTCGATCTCCGGATACTACCGTCTGGTGCAGGTCGCATGGGGTGAGACCGTAATGGATTGGTCTACGAGGAGGATTAACAATTATGACCCTTGAAAAATTATCAATACCCTCTATATTCAACTGCCGTGTCTCCTTTTGGTTAAAGAAAGTTTTCTAGTGTTCGGCATCATTGACAGCTATCAGCAGCTTCATCAATAACAGGTCCAGCTGTTGCGCATCCTACAGCTCCTTGGTCGTCCACACTTATCGACTAATGTCCAATGATACATGTACTGCTAAGGAAAGACCTGGCGTCTCACTCCTTCGGCTTCGCCTGGTTCTGTTCTCATCCTTAAATTCAGAAATGCCCTACTTCTAATGTCAATGCAATAGAAGTATACTCGTAAGAGAAAAGGAGTATATTTCTTTAAATTGACCACAAGTCACCGAAATCTATATGTTTATATGGGCGCCCAAGCAAAACCCAGGGGAATGGAATAACCATCAGAGACACCAAGAGCTTTCCAGTCATGTATATGACCTTGTAACAGAAAAGAAAAATAATGATGACCACATCATTCAAGACAAAAAAAAAAAAAAAAAAAAGATAGGGATCGCTGTCTATAAGGGTGGGCTATGATCAAAGAGCGGGTTGTGTGATGGATAGTAGACATCATTCCTTATCATTGGCTATTGTTCGTTTGATGATGGAGCGTACGAAATGTCATTGATTAAAGGCTCATTCTCTGAGTGCCTGTGTTCGAGATCTGGAAAATGTTTTGCGATTATGAATCAGCTAAAGATTGTTTGTCTTATGCTAGAGGACCTTACCTGACCTAACCCCATTGACAATTATGATTTGAGCCTGTATTTGCAAAGGAGACACCGCGGCATTGTGTCTTAATAATGAACTGTATGGGCTTTCAGGATTCGGTGACGGGCGGGGGTGGCCTAAATTAAGTGATGGACGATCTTCCCAGTGGAACATGGGCGAGGATTGAACGTGGGGTACAACGTGCATCCCTTGTGCTTCAGGAATATCCAAGCGGCTGCGATCTAGATAGTAGGCGCCCAGAGGTCAGAAACCTTGGTACAGTGTAGAATTGCAAAACCCTGCGTTCCGGCATATATGGAGCGATGAGAGTTCGGGCATTGGACACTACAGAGTAAGATTGTGCGTACCAGACAGTGGAAGTGCTGCTCTTTCGGCTCGGTTCCATACCTGACGGAACTTCTTGTGGCAGCGGAGGATGAATCGTATACCTGGAATACAAGCAATGAGAACAGCTACCAAACCAATAATGGCTTCTGCTGACATTGTCATTCTGGAAGGAATTGAAGACGGAGTTCATATGGGATCTGTGAATTGATAATAAGGATAATCAATCATCAACAAGCAGGAAGCATCAGGAGAACATCTGTTTTATATATCTACATGTGTTCTTGTAAAGTGGTGACGGCTTTAAGGTAGTAGCCGTCAACAGCAACATCTCTATCGGGATTAAACTGGGGATCGCTCTTAATCTTTTCTCAAGGACCGGACTGCTGCGCCCCCCGGCTCGTAGCCCATGGTCTTTGCTCGAAAAGTTAGGATTATGTAAGGTCGACCCCGCCGTTTGATTGGCCGCAGGAGCCTGGACAAGAAGTCAGATGGGGTGAGGCTTCTGTCACCTGTAACCTGTCCCTTTTCCCCTTGTTCGGCCGGCTCGTGAGTGTGCGTATGGCACGGATACGTGACAGCAGTGGCGCACATCCCCCTTTCCTTAGGGGGTTTAATTGCTTACTCTGGTTGACCCCGGTGGTTTTGTTAGTATGTTTTTTATTCACACGCTATACAAGGATCATGTACAGAGTAATTGGTGTATTGGTTTCTGGCCAATATCTTGCTCCTGATCTTCTGAATAGTTAAGACCTACCTATCAGAGCAGGCAGTCATTTATTTAGTAAACCTCGTTAACTATTATGGGATAGCTGCGAGTCCCAATGTACTAACAAAACCACCGGGGTCAACCGGAGTACAGTCACAGTATGAAGTACCTGACTACCTCAGCCACTTACTGACTTCTCCGTCCCAACATTCTGGGGCTCAGAGACTCGGAGAAACTGAAGGCGATTGAAGTTGAATAAGTATGATATCATGTGAAGCTGGCTATTCCTGGCTGTTACTGGTTGATTTTATTTGATTTTATTAGTTTCTGTTTGCTGACAGTGTTTTCTTCATTATTTACTAAGGCCTTGTCCACCTAAACCCGACCTTCTTCTCTTTGTCGGAGCCATCCAACCTGCCATCAGTAACTGTATTTTATCACCGGTTACTTTTCTTTCTTCCGCCTATAGAATTTCCAACCCTTTCCGTTGGACTCTCAAGAGGGAAGCAGAGACCACTAGCAAGGATGAACCGTTTCTCCTAATTCAAAAGACATGTATAAGCTATCTCACGGAATAATGTACCCAGTCATGAAGCAAGCAATCCCACTGCTTAGTACCTTAAGTACTCAGTGTTAAAGTACCTGTCCGCGAGGCGTTATCAGAGACTAGATGAAAATCCAAAAGATAAGATAAAACAACTTATAGCAGGAAGAAAGCCAGACAGATCCAGAACAGAAAAAGCAAGGAAAATTCGAGTCCTCCACTTGGAAGACAGCTAGAAAGAAGGAACGGACTGGGCATATGCATTTATGTGGAGACCCAGGCACCAGCATCAGAACGGATGGACCCTGATCTCCAACCCAAAGTACCATAGTAGTCCGGACAGATCCAGAACAGAAAAAGCAAGGAAAGCTCGAGCTATCCACTTGGAAGAAAGCTAGAAGCATGAACAGAATTCTGGCTGTCAATCTTTATTTCAATTTGGCCTAGGGAGAGACCTGCGAGTCCCACTGCCACATTCTACCTACACAAACGTCAATACGTGACAAACCGACTACACAGATACCCTTCATCTGACTTTCCACGGCTTTCTTTTTTTGTGCGCCAGTTACTTAACTACCTTAATTCTGCATTTATCCTCGATTTTCATTTCTGCAGTCCCACTCTCATCATCGCATCTCGAAGGCCTCCATGCACGATATACTATGTTCTTCAGCCAATAAAAATAGTCTCGCGGTTGAAGTTTTGATGGAAATCTAGACATCTAAGTTAGTCAAGAGCTGTATCTTCAATCGGCAGGATATTACGTCTGAAACTTTTGCTTCACAAGATAGATATGGCCCTTAGTAGTCTCGGCGAGATCATCCTCAACCTTTGGCTCGGATTGCAGAACGAAGCTGTTCCAGTTAATATCGGCCCGCTTTGTTTTGCTTTGAGATATTGGGACTGAATAAGGCTGCAGGCAGTCTGATCAAGATATATCAATACAATATCGGAGACTCCGAACATGTTGAGCAACGACATCTCAA